AAAAAAGGTAACAAAACACAAACTGAAGAAAAACTATACCTGAAGAGGCAAGAAAACTTTAAGGGTGACAAATTGGTCCCAGTTTGCCTGGGACTTTCCTTGTTTTAACACTAAAAGTCCCCAGGAAAACCATCAGTTCCGAACAAACCAGGGCCTCACAAACTAGTGCTCAAGTGCTCTTTAAGACCCTTTTCCCCTGCATCCCTGACAGGTTCTGCCCTTAACCTTCAAGGTGGGGATGTCTTCTCAGAAGCTAAAGAATTACCAGATTTGTTATCATACTTCACAGAAGAAAAAAAGACAGAATCCAAAGATGCACCCCAAAAGAGCACTCAACAGATTCAACAGACAGTTCCTAACACCACTGTGACCCAATACTTTTCTGGATCTGAGTTCTGATTTATATTTTACTTTGAAGACTTTGGCCATATCTAGATATCTGTCACTCATATTATTTACTTAAGATGTTTTTTAAATAAACTCACTTTTTCTTTGTTATACTTATTTTTAATATATGTATTTAAAAATGTTATTTCCTAAATTTGTTCTAACAGAAAATTTCATATCACTTTCATAAATGGAAAATTGGTATCACATACCACAAACAGAAGGTACATATTAGGTATATATTAAAAATATTACCTAGAGGTAGAAAGACTCCTTATGCAAGTTTCCTCATGTGTGGAAGACAAGAAGCTTGATGCTTCCTCTTAGGAGGTAGAGTGCTTGTAGCTTTCTTCCAGCTCCTTCTAGAATCTATAGGTTAACACTTCCTTGTGATATTCCTTCAGCTCCCTCTATTGGTTAGAGAGTGAAGTTATTCAACACAACTTTATCGAGCAACTATTTTTTTATGTAAATACTTTTATTTTTTTAATTATTTTATTGTTGTTCAAGTACAGTTGTCTGCATTTACTCCCCACCACTCCTTCCCCACCCCAGCCATCCCCACCTCCCTCCCCTGATTCCACCCCCCTTGGTTTTGCCCATGTGTCCTTTATAGTTGTTCCTGAAAACCCTTTCCCCCTTCACTGCCTCCATTATCCCCTCCCACCTCCCCTCTGGTTACTGTCAGTTTGTTCTTAATTTCAATGTCTCTTGTTATATTTTACTTGCTTGTTTGTTTTGTTGATTAGGTTCCAGTTAAAGGTGAGATCATATGGTATTTGTCCCTCACCACCTGGCTTATTTCACTTAGTATAATGCTTCCCAGTTCCATCCATGCTGTTACAAAGGGTAGGAGCTCCTTCTTTCTTTCTGCTGCATAGTGTTCCATTGTGTAAATGAACCATAGTTTTTTGATCCACTCATTTACTGATGGGTAGCACTTGGCTATTTTAAATTGTGCTGCAACTATTATGTTTCAGATACAGTGCTAGCTGCTGAGGATAGAGGAGAAAATGGGAATAATTTTGCATGTAATGAACAAGGGCTGGGAAAGGAAAGAAGAAGTTAAAAATTTTGGATATAGATACCTTTTGTCCAAAGTAGTCAGGTGTCAGTGACCCAAACTAGAACCTTTTCTCTGAGGATTACATTCTGACTGTAGCTTTGGATAACAAATCCTCCTAGAATTCTTGAACAGCCACAGTTATCCTCCTACCCCCACCCCATAGGTCCCAAGGGAAGATAAATGCTTGAAGGACAGATTCAGACAAAGAACTGCTTTACTAGCTTGGGCTTTCACCTCAGACCTCAGTGTAATCACCAGATTGGTTAGACTAAAGAGATAGTAACCCCTCATTTACTTTAGCCTCTGCAATCTGACTTTTACTCCTTACACTTCACCAAAAGTATATATGTGAAAGTCTCTGGGGGACCTCCTAATTAGCAGATCCAATAGGAAGTTTTCAGTCCTCATCTTCTGACCCTGGAGACAACTCCCTCCTTAGCTTCATTGATACAGATAGCTGCTTTGTTTGTTTTTCAACTTACTTGCCTCCCCATCTTTCCTTCAACCTCCTTTTAAATATTGATGCTTGTCCAAATTTTGTCCTTAACCCTCTTCTTCATACAATCTCCCTGCTCATGCCTATACACATAGGCATAGAGACTTCCACCTACATAAGCTAACACTCTCAAATCCTAAAAGACTAGAAGTAGCCTGTTTCTCTAGACTCATTTTTGTTTTAATTTGAGGTAACATTAGTTAACACAGCCTCACTTCTCATAATTGTCAAATTACTGTATTTCTGTGATAGCACCTTGGTCTGTTCTTGCCTGTTGCCTATTTACTCTGCCTGACTCCCGCCTCCACCATGTTTGTTCTTCAAGATTCAGCTTCTGCTACCTCTTCTGGGAACCATTCCAGAAGTACAACAGAATCCATATTGGGTGTTTTCCCTTTGTGCTCACCCAGCACGCTCAAATCTGTGCTTCTAATGGTCAGTGTACTTCAGTTTCTTCCACCAGGCTGATCTTCTTGAAGGCATGAACTTAATCTGCACTTAGTTCCCAGCACAGGGCTCAATAAATATTTGTTAAATTGATAAATATAAGAAATCCCTTGTAAAGTACAGCATAGGGAATGTAGTTGATAATGTTGTAATACCTATGGATGGTACTGCCAGCTGGATACTGGAAATATTGGGGGTGGGCGCTTTGTTAAGTATGATTGCCTGACCACTGTGTTGTACACCTGAAACTAATACAAAGTAATACTGAATGTAAAAAAAAAAAATGTCCCCCCCCCAAAAAAAGGAAAAGAAACCCCTGAGCTGTGAATAGTTGAACACAAAGAAAGAGCTCAGAGGTATTATAAGCCAGGGATATTTAAAACTTTAATATTTAGATCGTCTTTTCTTTCCATTCATAGAGGCAGCCAGGGCTGGTGGGGTTGGAGGGGCATGAGGGTCGAAGCCAAAAAGATGGGTGGGCTAACGAGGCAGCCAGGGTGGCAGAGCTGGAAATTGGTTACATACAGGAGAAATGAGCAATTATTTGGAGGATAAAGGGAACCAGGTTTTCCATTATCTGAGAATGGGATTATAAATCTGGACAGGGTAGATGCTGGAATGAACTCTGTGCTGTTGAACTGGAATTGGAGGTATGAGTTTGAACTCATGATTAAGTAGATGAACAGATATAAATATGTAGAGTCTGTACATCTGTGCTTAGAAGGCCTTTAAACCATGATGCCTAGAGGCAATGATTATACCTAGTGCTTAGCCTATACCTTGATTTTGAAATATCATTCTTCATTAAAAGGAATCAGGGCTCCTTAAAGACATGACTGATCCTAAGGTTGGGGCAAGGAATGTATGAATCTGGGACACCTTATGCCAGAAAGTAAAACTCTGCTCAAAAAATTATAGGGACATCTCAACAGAACACAGAAGCTGGTTTGGAGGGGCTCTCACTGTCCACATCTGATAGGTGAATATCAAAATAATCATGGTAATGGATTAAAACCCATTGACTAAAATAGGGAGGAGTACATGAGTCCACACTGATATTAATGACAGAGACAGGAATTTTTTCCTTATAGTAGAATGCCAATTAATAAATGTAATAGAAATGATAGAATTAGAATCACCATTAGGTATCCATAATACCATGAGGGAAGAAGGATCAGTGGATACTAATAATACTGTGTGAAAGTTTGATGAAGGAACAGAATCTTTATATATTTTCAAAGTACCTCCACACAAAATATTTCCTTAATTTCAAAGGGAAAACACTAACTGTTCAGTGGAATAACATGACACCAGTTTAACCAAAGAATCTAGGTTACCATAACCAGCAATAGGACAGTGACTCCATGTGCTTCCTGCAATGATACACTGAAAACACAGCATCACTTATGTGGTACTTCTGCCCAAAATGAAAACCTGAATTTAATAACTAGGAAACACAGTGAAAGCTAAATTTAAAGACATTTTTTCAAAATAACTGGCCAGCACTTTTCAGAAATATGAAGGTCACAAAAGACAAAGAAAGACTAGGGGACTTCCAGATTGAGAAAAAGCACAAACTACAGACATATAATGATTAAGCGTAACATATAATAATGGCTTGAAACCTGGACCAGATAAAATATTTTTTTTTCCTTTTACTAAAAGATCATTATTGGGACCATAGGCAAAATTTGAATGGTGTCTGTTGATTAAATGGTATCAAAGTTAATTTCCTAATTTTAATAGTTGTAATGTAGTTAAGTAGAATGTCCAGGTCTTGAGAAAAATTTCACTGACACATTTAAAGATAATGGGGTATATCATGTCTGCAGCTTAGATGGTTTAGAAAAATGGGTGTGTGTATATATATGTATATACACACATATACAAAAAATACACATATATATGAGAGACAGGGAATAATGAAGCAAATGTGCTTAAATGACCACAATTGGGAAACCTGGGTGAAGGATATGTGGGAGTTCTTTGGGCTATTTAAACAATTTTTCTGTAAGTATGAAATAAAATAGTTCATATATATTTTTATGTTCATTTCCTTTTTATTTAATTTATTGGGGTGGCACTGGTTAACAAAATTATGCAGGTTTCAGGTGCACACAATTCTACAGCACATCACCTGTACGTTGTATTCTGTTCATCACCCCAAGTCAAGTTTTCTTCTGTCACCATTTATCCCCCCATACCCTTCTGAAAAGAAATTCGAGTTTTTGTAACCTAAGTCATATATAAAAGGCTTATATTTTTTGCCTATCTACCCCTCCATCTAGTTCTAAAAACAATTTAGTTATATGACTATATAAAAAACAAACAAGTAAATACATGTGGTCTTGGGAAGACCACATGTCTAAATTGTAAAATTCTACAAAATGCTTTTGAAGATTTGACAGATTATGGGGAGAGGTTTCTCTTTGTTTTGGGAAACAGCCCAAACTTCAATATAGCTATTAGTTCTTCTGTGTCCCTGATACCTTTTCATTCAAAACTTGACTTCAGTTAAACACAGAGAATGCAATACTGGGCAATAGAGGCAGAAAATCATTATTAAAAAGAACAAAAGAAATACACATTGAAAATTTCACAGAATTTTATGCGTGTATACACACTTTATTAAATTTGTATTGTAAGATATACACAAAGTCAGCATTTCACAAAACTTCCTATTATTCCAAAAGCAGTTATCTTGAAATACAGTGTTTATATAAATCAGTTCAGCAAAAAGAGCATTATCTATAGGATTTTCTTAGCATATCATCTCATGTACTTATTTTCAAATATCAGTCTGAAATATGATATAATATAGAATAGAAAGAGAATTTTAATTTATACCAATGATTGCTTTTAAATATTAAACTTTATATAAAAATAAAGGGGTACTGTCAATCAAGCTCATCTGAAGATCAGCATCTCTATCTTTCATTTATCTCAAAACAATGCCTGCACAAACTTAACTTTCTAGTCCATTTAAACAATAAATACAAACCTTGGTTTAAACAGTAAAGTGAACCATCTTGCTTGCTAGTTCTCATATCATTGGAACAATTTCATTTTCCTGCCCTAATTCTACCCCACCACTGAAGTTCAAAAATAAATATCACTTTCCAAAGGTTATTTCTTAAGAGTTCTAAATCACAGCCAAAAATGGCCAAAAGTGTCCCTTTAAGGCAAAAAGACAATAGAACGAAGGTGGATAAGTATCCTATAATATAAAACCATCTCTCTGTATGATATAGGTAGAAACATCTCAACATGGTTCTTTCACAAACAGAATAAATCCTCTAAATACCATCAAAATAATGTCCCTTTAAAATGGCATACTAGGATCACTTCTTGGCTTTTTAACTAAGGTCAAGTGTAGTAAACTGGCATACTAGGGAACGATCTTCATAATATACCCATTTATGTTAGGTTTGAAGGATTATGGCCTTTGCACAGCTGAAGGCAATATGAAAAATTAAGACTTTAATGGGCACTATGGTGGTCATTACAATTTAAAATAAACAATACACTTGATGTTATTACAGAACTACTTATGGCTAGGTAAGTGATGCTCTCTTACAATTCAAGGAGAATACGTTTTCCTTCAAGCCATACAGTATTACTAGTTTGTGAGTACTGGCAAATGCAACATCTTCCTTTAAGAGTTAAGGATCTTTGTCTCCAAAAGACACAAGTGCAGTAGTCTTCATTTCTCACATACATTCAAAACTGGAATACTATGATCCTAGCGGGCAAATTTACATATTGAATACAGACATTCCACCCACGATATCTGAACATTAAGAGAAATCTATCATGACAGACATTTTTACACAGCTTTAAATAATAAATAACACAACAAAAGACTACACTCATTTTTAAATAGCTTAGCCCAGGATTTTCTCTTTAAATATTAACTTCTGGTACCTCATACTTATTATCATGTAGAATGTTCACAGCTCAAATACCTTCTTAAAAGCTGAACTCACAATAACATTGGTTTCTTTTTTGGCTCCTGAAAGCTTCCTCATAGATATTAAGCTGCCCTTGCTATAAGACAGCATGCACAAGAACTGAACTCTGATTCCAGCGGCAACACGACAACCAAAAGTCAGCAGCATCACTCACCACATGAGAAAACCAATGAATCCAATGACAAAACAACAATCAGAAAAAAAGCAGCAATCGAGACCGTATGTGGCAACCAGTCACATAAGGACCCTTTTCCTACTCTACCTTATGATATACATGTTTATAGCACAGCACTGCATCTCAAGGCACCTCAGGCCTCCTAATACCATGCAAAACAAGCTGTCAAGCTTCGCATATGCTTTTCTAGACAGTGGTTTGTGTGTAAATAACATTATTCATTCATTTGTAGATGCTCCACACATCTGGTCAAAGCAGGAATTTCTTCTCCTTGACAACACCACCTAGAAACATTAACAATATTTTATATATTCCTTAGGGTAAGAGATTTGGGGAGAAAAATATCAACTATGGTAGCTAAGTCATAAGAACCTGTGGCGACTACTCCAGGTGTCCTGTAAGTACATTTATATTCTCCGCACTAAAATCAATCCTCATATCATACATTCCAACAGCAAAGAAGCGATATGGGTAGTAACAAAAGCAACTACGTGCTTTTTCTGCTCTGTAAGAAATGGCAAGTAAGCAGCTGAAACAGGAAAGGGAAACAAAATAATGTAGTTTAAGCTGATGCAGAAAAATAAAAAAATAATATAATCAAAACCAATTCATCTACTGTGAAATACAGAGATTTGAAACTATGTAGTCAACAGAGGACAAAAAAATATCTCTCAAGCAAGAGAATTTCTGATCAACTTTAGCTGTCATACTACTGCTGCAAAAAGGAACCATTCTCAAAAATACCTATCAGGGATTTCCTTAAACATATAGACTCTAAAATGGGGGCTCTTTGAAGCACTGAGAAATATGTATATATTTGTATTTATATATACATAACTCTATGCAATTAAAAATGAGTATTTGAGGTTTAGGCACTAGATCCAAAATATGATCAGCAAAAAGAGACACAAGTAAGGTCACTGTATTTGTAAAATTGAACTTTAGAGAAGAGAGATGCCAAACAAACAAAAAAAAGAATGGTGATACTTTAATCCTCATCATGGATCAAAGTTCTCTGCATTCCTCACTGAATGCTTTATGTAGGAAACAGCAGTTAAAACACTGAATCAGAAATAGATGAATCACTTGGGTGAGAGATCATCCACCAAGATGAGCAGAGGGCATGAATTGGAGCATGCTACTGGAGACTCTGCAGTTGTGCTGCCTTTAGCCAGTGAGTCTGAGGATAAGCCACGGTTGCTACTGCCACTACTACTGTCATCCAAAATATCTGAACTGAGGACAAAGTGAAAAGAATTATAAGCAGGATGCATCTATTAGGGTAAAAGTAAACATAACATGCAACGAGTTTCAAGAATTCACAAGTCAGTAAAGCGTTTGTAAATAATAAAAAGTATAAAAGCAATAGCAATGAACTACATCATGTACTAGATTCAGATACCTGCAAAAGCACAAAGTCATGCCAATGGAAAGTAAAACACTCAGGGTTCTGTATAATTTTAGTGTTCTCTCGGAGGTACCAGAATGTCCAATATATAATAAACAGTCTTCTTGACAGATCATGGTTTTCGTGAGGTAGTTCCCTTACCTTCAGCTCAAGACATTTCTATCCTTCTATTTATCTTCTTACCTTCCCATCAGCCTTATACAGTAAACGGAATGGTTACTCATTGAGGTAGCTACCCTGAATTCTACGAAGTAGTCTATCAAGTCCATTGCTTCATGGTCCTTCTATTCCAGAACAAAGTATTTCAATTGCTCTAGATTTTACCACTTCTCCACTCCCAAAAGGCTTTTGATTCTAACATGTTTTTCTAATTTCCTTCATTATTTGCCATTTATATTCTTCTCATTTTATGAACTTCTTACACCACTTCCTTTCCTCTTGCTTTCATAACCCAAAAGTCTCCCTACCATCTCTAAAAGACTATTTTCTTTGATTCCTTCTATGACTACCCAGTTAAGCTTCTAAAAGGAATGCTTTTTATATCCACAGACCCAATACCCCCACAGTCCACTCACCTCTTTAATCCTAACAATGGGCTTCTGCTCCTACCCTTCCACTAAAACTCCTGGCCTGGGCATCAAGAGCCTCTATAGCCCAGCACAGGAATACCTTACCAATTCAGCCCAACCTCTCGTGGCTCCCAACAACCAATCTGGTTTGCCGCATAAATCTGCCTTTATACTTCACCACTCACAACCAAGAGCCTTCACAATTTGGCATCAGGACACCTTTCTGACTTTGATTCCCATCAATCACACGTATTAGCTCTATGCTCTATATTTGGCCCAAATTCACTCATTCATTTATTCTAATACTATTGATTTCCTGCCAAGTAAAGGAAGTATGCTAGATATTAGAAAAACAATAGTGTATAAGATGAACATGGTCCCTGCCCCCATCAAATTTACAGGAGTTCAGGACACATACACTGAAATAATTATGCTAATAAACATATAATTATAATCTGTGATCAAAGCAATAAAGGAAAGATACAAGGGGCTCTGAAAGTATACAACATGGGTGACCTTATCTACTTTGGAGGAACAGGGAAGAACAAGGCTCCTTAAAAGCGGTATTTGAGCTGTCATCTGAAAGATGAGTAGGCATGAAGTAGATAAGGTTTGGGAGGAAGCAAGGGTAGTTCTAGAAGCCAAAAGCAGGCCAGTGTGGCTGTAGTACAGACAGTAAGAACATGACGAGAAACAAAGCTGGAGAGGTGGTCAGGCAGTTTTAGGATTTACACAGACATGCCTTTTATTTTTGAAAAAGAAATAAAATGTAAAATTGGAGAAGCAATTATGAATCAGGAAACATAGGTTCTAAGTTTAAGTCTAGTCACTAGCTCCTTTGCAAATGCCCATCCTAATCTAATGTGCTCTAAGGCTAAGTATTGTGAGTCTTTAATATTATCATTTTTATGAATTTCTAAGTTAACAGATTTCCAGAGTTATGCAACCTGTGGTACATTTGGAAGTTTATGGGCCCTATACCACCCTCAATGAAATACAACTCCCCCCCACCCGCTTCTTCTACTCTTCTTTTTTCTTCAAAATGTCATTTCTTTCTATTGCCACTGAATTGTTTTTAGGTGGAGACAGAATACAAAGAGGCTTCGGAAAAGCAAAAATAAAAATGGAAACAGTATGTTCCACAGTACTCCTACTCTATGCTCACTGCTTTCAAGTGCATCATTAATAAGCCACTTTTAAGAAAGAAGTTTGGATAATTTAGCTGGCTCAGATATTTTTTGAACCAAAAGGCAAAATGGGTCTAAAATATGAATTATTCAAACTACTGAAAGAAAGTTGCACAGATAATCTGAGACATTGGAAAATCAAAACATATGTGATGTTTTTTCCTCCTGAAGCATTTGGCTTAGACTAATATTAAAATGAATTTACTTTGCTAAAACACATATTGGCTGGGCAGCCGAAGGACATGCTCTGTGCTAGCTGGCAGGAAGAAATGGGTTTGGATTAAAATTTGGCCACCAAGAAGATAATCTGAATATAAATAAAGATTTTATTATTCCAACCACCAAACTTACGGTGAGCCCTGGGTTAAAATATTCCATTTGTAACAAGACCTGCTTGCTTAGGTGAATCTTGTATTCATTCAAAGACACAGCATGAGGGTGGTGAACACACAATGTAGTATACAGATGATGTATTATAGAACTGTACACTTGAAACCTATATAATTTTATTAACAAACGTCACCCCAATAAATTTAACTTAAAAACACACAGAACATGACTCATGCAGAGAAATCTGTCATTTAACACTGCTGATTACTTTAAGAGAAACAAGCTAATGGGGAAGTTACCAAGAAAAAAATAAATCTGGACATTTCATTTCATATCTTTTCAAGAATTTCTTCTCTATTATTAAATATAAACATATATAAAATTTTGTTCATTAACAGAGAAATAGCATACTTACATTTAGTCACCAGTACAATTCATATTCTGAACTTAGTAAACATTTAACCAGATATTTTCACTAAACTAAAATCTACTTTTTGTTCTAATTAATCTGGCACTACTACCCATGGTCTGGAAGCACGGACCACAAGTCACAAATTACCCACTGTTAGTAGATCTGCATAAAGCAAGACTTACATATTTTAATCCACAGATCAATAAACAAAAGTGATTTTCACGGTGTCCACTATTAAACATTCTACGATGGTTTCTAAAAGCAACAAAATATGGTCCAATTTGAGTTTCTCTCTTCTTTCCTTCCTAGCTTAAGCTCTGATGGAGATGTTAATGAACCTTAGACTAATGGCCAAAAGCCAGACAGTGGCAGGAAAGCAAAGGACCTACACAATTCAAACTGAACATAGGAGAACATTTATGCATGACTCATGGACACGGACAACAATAGGGGATGGACTGTGGGAGGAGAGAGGGTGGGGCTTGGTAGAGGTCAGCAAAGGGAGAAAAAGTGTGGACAACTGAAATAGTCTAAACAATAAAGTTAAAAAAAAACTGAAAAAAAGGAAAAAAGTGAACTGTTTCTTTCCAGTCACTGAATGTACATATTGAGGCAATATCTGAACCACTCAACCAAAAATACTTATGACTGTTAAAGTAGTGCCTTCTGTTTAAAAACAAACAAACAAACAAATAAAACTAAGGGTAAGATTATAACAGAATCATTAAAACATTCAAACAACAAAACCAGGATGTCCAGTGTCATTCATATTCTCACCCCATCCAGTTGAGCCACTTTACCTTGTCTATTCAACAAACTGGGTTCTATCAGGTTAATGGCAGACAGGTAAATGCACTAAAAATTAGTCACAGCCCTATAAAGCCAGGAGATCTTGGTATAAGGTAAGACTATGGGGCGTCCCTTATCCCTTGATGTGAGTTAAACTGGCCCATAGGGCATGTTCTCTGGTCTCTATTTTACCTTAAGAAGGACCAATATTATCTTCCCATATAACTTTTATGTTTTAAGATCACACATGTAAATATGATCATTTCCACAGTCACCTTGGGGATAAGAGTTTAAAAGCATCTGCACAGATGTCTAAACTGCTCACATAAATATTTTCAAAGTGTATACATACATTTCTATTATTAAATAAATCATGATTAAATCTTATTCTTTGTATGTCACATATTCACTATGAAATTTTCTTGCCATGACACATATATTAAAAATAATGTTAAAATCACTAAGATTAATCTAATTATAATGTTAACATAAAACTATAAAGGCTAAATTAGCAGTCATGTTAACACTGATGCAATGGGCGAAAAAAATCACAGAAGACTTTTTCCTTTTCTGTAGGCAAAACAGACTGCCACTTAATCTTCACTACATGGCTAGAGGCCCTGAAAATTCCCAGGGCCTCTAATAAGATAATCTTATTCCCAAAAGAATAAGGAGCATACCATGAAATGCTATGAATCAAAAGAATCAAAGCACCATGCAAAGGTGTACTTTCAAGCTGTGATCAAACTCTTGATGTTCATGAAGACTAAATGGAGAGTGACAAAATTCTTCCCTTGTGGTGACATTGTTCCCCAGATATGATCGGCAGAGGTTTCAGAATTTTCAGTTCGTAAAAAAATATAATATTCAGAACAGGCTTACTATTTCTTTGGGCAGCAGTTGGCATACTGGACAGCGATTCTAAATGGGTCCGAACTGAAACTTCACACTTAATTTATACTTCAAAGATGTCAGATTTTAAAGGCTATTATCTAGTATATAAATTTTAATTTAAAGTGTTAAAACCCCTCTTTTCTTTGCAGAGTAGTACAAGGAATGAACTATAACAATTTAAATGATCATTTACTAATGATCTGATACTTTTTCTACTCCCTAAAAGGTATAAAGATTGCTTCCTTAGTTTTGTTATCAAGTAGATGGCTACCTTTGACAATAAAAACCAGAACACAGCTACTTCCTGTCTTTGTCCCCATTTCTAAGAATATGGATGTCTGATCAATGAAAATACATTAAAGAGACAGAAAAAAGCTTTTACAAGGGCAGGATCCCATTTTTATATATCGGGAATAGCTCATATTTGAAATCTCTTAGTTGTAGACATCAATGTCTACAATTATTAGTATACAAGGTATCCCAAAAATCTTAGTGCAAACTTAAGTTTTAATATCCTTGGGACTCCAGATGCTACAAACTCACTAAAACATCACTTAAAATTTTAATTACCTAAATATTTTTGATACTTAGTTTTGTGAATTTTGAGTAATATATTTGTTTTTAACATATTATTTGTGCCATATGTTGGCTTGTTAGTGTTCTATGAGGGGCCGTGAATGAAGCAAATCTTTCCAGTGTGAGGGAATGCTTTTTGTGTTTATGGATCAAAAGTGCCCTTCATCACCAATGTCCATGTTCCCAGGGCTCTCATAGCCAGTTACAGGTCTTTGGAGAATGGGAGTAGCAAGAGAAATAGAAACCTCATAACAGTCACCATTGTCTACAGCTTAGGTTGTGCTGTCTGGAGGAATAAATGGCTGGATAAGGGGAGAGGGCTTGGTAAATACCATATCTTGTTTTTCCTTTCTTCTTTATTTGCATGAACCTGTTTGATGGCATCCTGCACAGCAAGCCTATGACAATTTTTTTAATAAATCCCCTCACCCTATCTAATGTTTTTTAGCTTGGTGAAAAGCTTTCATATCTTTTACCTAACTTGGTTACTTGGTTAGTAACTGGGTAAGCAAATCTATTTATAATGTCATGTGCCTATATTAAAACACACTGTACCATAAAAGTGATATGCAGATTCCACTAAGTATAGAGTTTTATCCACTAGTCATCTTGAGAAACTTTAGAGGTTTTCTCTTTGTGATCATGTACACACCTGGAAAGGCACTCTGTACCAAAATTAGCACACTGAGCTACCAAGGGCAGACAGAGGTGAGAGAGAAGAAAAATTGTGGCGCTGAAAGTAGCTAGAACAATCTAAAAGGTATCTATTCCAAGGTTAGAACAGTACTGATCAATGAGTCTAATAAATGAGAATAATCTGACTTCTTGGTCAACTAGAAGTACAGGTTATCTTTTTTAAAAAATATATTTTATTGATTATGCTATTACAGTTGTCCCATTACCCATCACTCCCCTCCACCCTGCACACCCTCTCCCACCCACATTCCCCCCTTTAGTTCATGTCCATTGTGTCACAAGTTCTTTAGCTTCTACATTTCCCATACTATTCTTGCCCTCCCCTTATTTTCTACCTACCATCTAGGCTACTTATTCTCTGTACCTTTCCCCCCACTCTCCCCCTCCCACTCCCCTGTTGCTAACCCTCCATGTGATCTCCATTTCTGTGGTTCTGTTTCTGTTCCAGTTGTTTGCTTAGTTTCTTTTTGTTTTTGTTTTAGGTGTGGTTGTTAATAATTGTGAGTTTGCTGTCATTTTACTGTACATGTTTTTATCTTATTTTTCTTAGATAAGTCCCTTAAACATTTCATAAAATAAGGGCTTGGTGATGATGAACTCCTTTACCTTGACCTTATCTGAGAAGCACTTTATTTGCCCTTCCATCCTAAATGAAAGCTTTGCTGGATAGAGTAATCTGGAATGTAGGTCCTTGCCTTTCATGACTTGGAATACTTCTTTCCAGCCCCTTCTTGCCTAGTACAGATTATCTTCTATAAAACATGGAGTAAGTGGTTTGGAAAAAAAGGAATTCTTGATCCTTATACCTTGTAACTGGCTTACACAAATCTTTAAAGAACACCATTCTTTTACATTGAATTCCCTTGTGGGCTCTTTATAAAAGATTCTCAGCCATAAACTTTGTGGAACAGAAAGTTCTGAAAGGCAATACACAATCATGTCTAGAATAAGATTATGTATTGTGTGTTGATTAGAATGTACTTAAAAATTTCAAATTATTACCTGGCTACTGCTACTATTCCTTCCCTTTCCTTCCAATAAGTCCATCAGTATCCAAGGGCTCAACTTCAGGTACAGGAAAATGAGTTAATTTTAGCACAAAAACATTAAAGGGCCTTAAGTTAGACATCTAAACTAGAATGAGTAAGGCTAAAAAATATGTGAGTGGGCCATAGGTATCAGGACGTGCTACTATAAAAATGAAACTTTAGTCAGCATTGGGATGAAATACCCCAAACCTTGAAAAATATTTTATAACAACAGATAATGCTATTTAGAAAATGCCATGCTGAAGAGAATACTGGCATTCTGTCCTAAGACAAAAGGATATAATACAAAATGCAGGTAGAACAGCTACAATCAGTGGACCATTACCCAGAGCAACCCAGAAACGCTCACACCATCCAGGTACTGACACTTCTCCACACCATTAGCACCTACTGAAAGAGGATGACTTAACAACAGGAGCTAGGGATGAAGGTGAAGGTGCCAAGAAGATACACGCTTCCAAAAAAGTACTCATGACTTTTAAATGATCTGCTTTTCCACATTATCTACACCTCTAGATTTCCCCTCTATGGAGCATGGATAAAAAGCTGAATACATTTTAAATGATCCCAATATACTTTTGATGTGGCTCTTTTTAAATAGATTATACCCTAATATGCTTTTGATTTTATTTCATTTTTTACCATGAACTGAGATCAGACAATTGTGCAGTCTCTGGAGACAGCATATGAGTAGTGCCTTGGAAGAGCCTCTTGGGCTGGCTTTCGGTCTCCATTTCACCTAAAACAAAAAGAGATAATGCCACTGTAAAACAATTATACAGGCTCAATGCTAAAATAGGCTGATCATTATTTAAACAAAGCTCAGCATACTTCTTGAAGCTGTTACTTGAAAGATATTTTTTCTATGTGTTTAACATACAAGAAATATACTTCCTCATAACCTTAACCAAAAAGTCAGCAGCCCTAAAAAGAAAAACACCTTATCATTTATTAAATGTATCACACTACAGGTACAGTCATATTCCTTTTTTAAATATACTTTATTGATTATGCTATTACAGTTGTTCCCATTTTTCCCCCTTTGCTCCCCTCCATCCAGTATGCCCATTCTCTCTGGCTAGCCCTACTTTACCTTATGTCCATGGGTCATACATACAAGTTCTTTGGCTTCTCCATCTCCTATACTGTTCTTAACAGCCTCCTGTCTATTCTACCTACCAATTTGTACTTCTTAATCCCCCATGCTGGTATAAACAAACCTACTATACTGCTAGTTGTATAAAAGTATAGCACACACAATTATGTACAGTACATAAAACTTGAAAATGATTGTTACTGTTTTATGTATTTGTATACAATAATGTTTATCATTATTTTAGAGTATCTTCTTTGTACTTACAAAAAATGTTTGCCATAAAACAGTATGTTGTGTTATACCAGTGGCAGCCTTATACATCTCGTGTTTACCATGTGTCTTGATTGCATCATTTCCCCTTGTGCTTGATTTGATCTCATGCTGTTTTTCAGAGTAACATGCAGTACAGGATTGTACACTAGGAGCAATAGGCTGCACCATATGGCCTAGGTATATAATAGGCTACACCACCTAGTTTCATGTCAGTGCACTCTGAGTTGTTCATACAGTGATGAAATCGCCGGATGCTGCATTTCTCAGAAAATACCTCCATTGTTAAGAGATGCATGACTGTGTAAGTTCAAAAGCACACTTGTATCCGAAAGCAATTATTAATTCACAAAAATGGTATTGTACTGGCTACCTCAATCCTACAGATTTTCTCACAACTAGTAACAGAAAAACTTTGCATCAAAGGAGTACTGTTTAACATTTTGCCACTAGGAGTGCAAACACTAACGACCCTAAGTTATGCAGAAAAAGCCCCTTTCCAAATAAGCTATGATTTAAAACATGCATATAGCCCTAGCTGGTATGTTGAGTGCCAGCCTATAAAGCAAGGGGTGCCTGGTTCAATTCCCAGTCAGGGCACATGCCTGGGTTGCAGGCCAGGTCCCCAGTAAGGGGTATATGAGACACAACCACACACTGATGTTTCTTTCCCTTTCTTTCTCCTTCCCTTCCTGTCTCTAAAAATAAATAAATAAACAAATAAATAAATAAATAAAACATGCACATAAATTTGGTTTTGAAGCTTTTTATCTCAGCTTTAAAATGGAATAGTATGAAAAATTTAAATCATGGGTCTATCTATGCTCCAGTAGAAAATTGGTAACTATAAACTTAAACCTGTGCAAGATTCTTTTAAGAAAAAGAGCAAGCAAAAACAAATACAATATTCAAATCTCATATGTATCAATTAATTCATATTATCCTTCCTCTGGAGCTATTCTGATTATTACTAAAATGGAAGAAAGGTTGTATTTTTATTTGCTTTTTCCATACCTTGTTTACATTTATTTATTGGTTTTAGAGAAAGAGAAGGAAAAGAGAGAAAGAGAGAAACATCAATTTGTTGTTCCACTTATTTATGCATCCATTGTTTGATTCTTGTGTGTGCCCTTACCAAGGACCTTGGCGTAAGGTGGGATGCTCTAACCAACTGAGTTACCAGACCAGGGCGCTTTTTCCATACTTTAATATGCAGTTTTTAAAAGCTGCCGCCTGGCTTTCAACACCTCTTTAGCAAAAACACTTGAGCCCTTTTTAGCAAAGAATTCCTCCATCTGCTGGTTTATTTTGGAATAGCTTTGAAACTAAACAACCATACTAACTCCATCAATTTCCCACAACAAATTTAAAATTAATAACAACAACAACAATAGCTTTAATTTCTACATGTTATTTTCACATAATAACTCCTGAGAAGATTCTTTGGATTGTAAATAATTCCTTAAAGAATTAAGGAAAAAAAACTATTCATTTATAAAATAAATTTTATTCACTAGCACAAATATTGTCCCTGTATCAGGCTCTATTTTTCAGAACATTACCCTCTTTAATTTTAAGTTGTCTGAAATATAGCACTTTTTGAATCTGTGTGTGATGCTCTAACTGGAAAATTTTCACCAAAGCTGGTAAGTATCATTTACTTACCATGAGGAGAATTGATATGTTTACTGGCCTTGAAGGTAATCTGCACAAAGAAACCACTTACCAAATTGTTTTATTAAATTGCTGCTAAAACTCTTGTTTAAAATGACATCCAACCCTTGCAATCATGTGATCATATCCCTGTTAATAATGACTAAAACTGTGTTAAATTTCTTTGCCTTTTTTTTAATAGACTCCATCAGGGTCCCATAAGCATCTAAAACTAACATTGAGTGAGATCATTTTAGTTTAGTGCTCAGTGGTTCAAAATAAGGTAATTAAGAGAGCACCCCAATTACAGGAAAAACCCTAAAGGCCTGAATATGAGGCAATAATTCTCTCTTTGCCGTTGCCAAGGTATAACTTGGTGGTGGATTATATCTGAGAATACAGCTTGTTTATAGACCTATTTGCTGTGACATAAGCATACATTTCTGCAATGTATCAATTTGTACCTTTTATATTCAGATCACTGAGAGGCAAAAATTTTGGAATATATATTGGTAATATGAATATATGAATAAGATTCTGTTATGAAATATAAAACTATAGACAGTATCAAAATAACTAATTTACAAAAGTTAGACTTAGTAAAGCATATATGGGGAAGAGTATTGCATATTTTTATTTTTACTGTTGTTCAAGTATGGTTATCTGCATTTTCCCATATACGGGGAAAGTATTGCATATTTTTATTTTTACTGTTGTTCAAGTATGGTTATCTGCATTTTCCACCACCTTCCCCCACCCCACCAACCTACTGCATATTTCTTTAGAAAAAAGGAGCCCAGCCTTGAAACTAATTTCAGACAAAAGTTCTAATATGTAATTTAAGTTTAACTAGGTTTCATATCAGAAATGTGACACTTACCTTTTCTCTTAAGAGGACCAAGAGCACTGGGCCTAATGCACTTGACTGGACTCTGACTCCTGCTGCAAAGAATAAATAAACTGGATGAAGTGTAAGTACTTCTAAGATGCAAGATAAACATTACAGCCCAACAACTAAGTCAAAAAAATTGACATTCATAGAGGGAGAAATAGAAAATGCCTGTGTTGTAGGTTGAGTAACTCAAACACCAGTACATGATCTAACCTGGCATATGGCAATCTGGTGTTTTAAGTTATCTTTTAAAATCATTCTACAACACAAAATATCCACAATAGTTTCTTTTAAAAATAGAAACCACCCTGGCTGGTGTAGCTCAGTGGATTGAGTGCGGGCTGCAAACCAAAGGGTTGCTGGTTCAATTTCTAGTCAGGGCACATGCCTGGATTATGGGCCAGCTCCCCAGTTGGGGGTGCATGAGGGGCAACCACACATTGATGTTTCTCTCCTTCTCTTTCTCCCTCTCTTCCCCCCTCTTTAAAAATAAATAAATAAAATCTTTTTAAAAATAGAAACTTTATTAAAAAGTTATTCGAATTTAACTAATCTACAATCTTAAACAAAATCTTTCCTTATAAAAGACATTATCCTATACACATGTCTGTCCGCTGAATATAAACTGGTACTAAATCTCAAAAAAAAAAAAAAAGAATCCGGTAAAATGTTAATAGTAGAATATAGGTAATAGGTACATGGCTGTTCACTTTGCAATTATTTCAATTTTCCTTTCACTTGGAAATTTTCCATAATAAAATGTTTGGGGAAAAATGTCATCAGAAAGACAATTTTAAAAAGTAGCACTTCACCCACATTTAAAAAGTAGGTTCACCTACCTGGAAAAGTGTCTCGGACTAGGAACGGGACTTGGTGGTAGCCCACTGCTGCTCACAAACATTTGTAAGGATGGTGAAAAACATTGCTAGAAAACACATATTTAATATACAAAAGGTTAGTTCTAATGCTCCAATTTTCAAGAGATTCTTCTCAAAATGACAGAAACAATATCCTTAGAATTGTTTAGTTGTCTATGTATCTCTCTCTATATATAAATGAGAATATGGGGGTGTGTGTGTGTGTGTGTGTGTGTGTGTATTTTTTTCCAAATTACTACCATAGACTTTCTTGATCTTTCTTCCAGTCATTGGACTTTTTAAAAGTGAGGCAATTTGTGTGTACGTGTTATACACAGTAAACAGCTCAGCGTATAAAAGAGAGTTAACATATTGTCAATGGGCCTACCTTTCCAAATCCTCTGGTGGGTGATGGTGCTGGAGAAACTGGTGTGAAGTCAATCCTTTTAGGAGAATATAATTTCTCTGGCTTGTCAAAATCACTATCACTCTGTAAACATAAAGTGTTATTTCATCATAATTCACAGTTCAGCACATCACAGTTCTTCCTTACTGCATACAAATGCCTGCATTTTTTAGGGTAGAAATGTATGCTAAAAAGTTGCAATATGATATTTTAGTGGAAAAGCAGAGATCAAAAATGAATCCAAATTTGCAAACAGAAGGGACAGAAATGTATGGAAAATTAATAAAGCCAATGAACAATACAAAGGATTCTATAAAACAAAAATAAATAAAGAAAACAAACACAAAAACTTTACCAGGCTCAAGCGTTCGTCCCATGATTGGCTTATCTGCATTGCTGTTTGCACTTCCCTAAAACAAACAAAAATGAAAGGCCATCAGTGCTCAGACATAAGCGTACACTATGCTGTGCCCTATTCCTGTGAAGCACTAACCTTTCATGGGCAGTTTCTCTGTTGATCATATCCATGCCTTCTTCCTGCAAAGATAAACATGAGCTGAAAACATAGTATTTATCCACACAATGCTTTATTTGAAAGAAAGAAAAAAAGACTTTTCTACCTTACCTGACATAATTTACAGTACAGCAGAAATAACATTCTAAGACCATCACCCATGCCACATCTGTATTTTATCTGAACACATAGAAGAATTTTAATCTGCCTACAACTAAACAGTTGCAGCCTGTGGCAGTTTTGATATCTAAATTTTCAAAATGAAAATAAAATCAAAATGTAAAATTCAGCCCTGGCTGGTATGGCTCAGTTGGCTGGGTATTGTGCTGCAAAGCAAAAGGTCGCTGGTTCAATTCCTGGTCAGGGCACATGCCTGGGTTGTGGGACAGGTCTGGTTGCAGGGCATGAGAAGGCAACCGATAGGTGTATCTCTCACACGTCGATGTGTCTCTTCCTCTCTTTCTCTCTCCCTTCCCCTCTCTCTAAGAAATAAATAAATATTTTTTTTAAAAAGTAAAATTCAGAAAATTGTAGATCTGTGCTAGAAAGTAAAATTTACCCTTTTGATTTGATGCAGTCTGCTACTACAAATCCGATTAGGTGAGGATGACAGCAACTGGAAAGAAAAAGTAAACGTTTGCTAATTTTTGAATCACAAGGAAATCTGCTGTCAGTGTAAAACCTCTTCCTAGATAATGTTTCATATTCTTCTTAGAAAACTAGTTCTTTAAGTTACTGAACATTAATGCACTACATTCAATCTTTAGAAAGTACACCAGGTATCCATCCTCTAAGCACCATCTGTCATCCGACAGGCACCGAATTTAACACTTTTCCCAAATAAATGCAGAGCTGCGTACATTTATGTAAAAAAAAAGACTCCAAGCCTTGGAAATATCCATTACTTCACTAATCTAAAGTAAAGAGTTATAAGAGAAGGGAAAAAAACCTGTTTTTATTCATTTTTATTACCAATTCTCCAATGGAGAAAGACAGACAAAGAAGCCCAGTATAATATTATGTCTATGATTAATGTTTATCAAAAGCACTTTGAAACTGCAATAAGGAGATTTTGTTTGCATGATCTAAATCAATTCTAAAATTTGATCACTAATGCTATCACTACAAACCTTACTAAGAAAATCAATGCAGAAGGCAAGGTGTATTTTTAAAATAACTGTTGTTTTCCCCTACCTCACCATTTTATAACACAAAACTGAATTGATTTGGGGGCCAAATTGTGTTCCATCAAAATAATCACAATCTGATTACAAAATTAAGATACAATTCATATTTTACAGGGTCCTAATAGTTATAACATAAACAACTACTATGTATCTCCTAATGAAATGTAAATGAAATTATAATACTATAAAACCAAACAAGACAATTATCCTGTTACAAGAAGCCCTATCCTATTAAAACTTTTTTGAATACTAATGTAGTGATTGAGTAGTACAAAATGGTGATAAACTGCTCTAAGTTGTTTAGGCAAAAGCTAATTCAGGTAAAATTTTTAAAAGTTACCCACTGAAATATGATTTTACCTCAAAAGATATCTCTTTATTACCCACTCTTTTCTTTCACTTTTTCCTCTCCTGGGCTTTGAAAAGAAAAAAACTTCACCAGTAAAATCTTTTTGAAAAGTACTTTTTTTTCCATTATGAAAGCGGTGCATATTTACTGTTGAAATCTTAATAAGGTCATTTGAAAAACACTAGGCTACTAGGCAAGTAAATAAGGCAAGAAAGACTCTAACAGGATAATATGAAGAAGAGCATGGATGTGTCTGTCCATCAGAGAACAAAAGAAACCCCAAAGGCGGGGAAATAATCAGGAAAGCCAAAGCGATGACTGCCAAACCCAATTGTGGAGAAAAGTCAGAAATTTAGATGCTGTATCTATGTGATGTACAACTTGTCAATTTTAGACAGAACTGGAAAGTAGACCTGAAAGAGGAAGAGAGGAGCAAAGCCATGTCTAGTACCAGAAACAGAGTAAGGTATAGGCTGAGAAAAAAGCCAGGAACTTCAAGGAGGTGCTGGTTAATGGTGTTAAGTCAAGCAAAGAGCTCAAGTGGGATAAGAAAAGAGGCCCCTGACTTGGGCAATCAAATGGGTGTTTGTGACTTTTGCAAGAACAGGTTTTTAACAGAGTTGTGGTAGGAATGACGAGATTACAAACTGGCTGAATAGTTAACAAGAAATTAGGAGACAAGGAATCAAGAGACAGTGGAATATAGATTAAGCTTTGAAAAAGATTCCTTAGGTAAACGAAAAAAGGGAAGGAGAGACCTATGAAAAAAAGAAAACAGTCTGCTTTCCAGATATTTGGGGTATGTGTCAGGAGAAGAAAGTGGAAGAGACTGTGAGGAAGACACAAGATAGAGAGAAGATGACAGACCAAGCAAAGTGATAGAGATTCATAAAATGTATAAACCGTTTGGAGAAAACACTCCATGTGAAGGTTGAAGGTAAAGACATTCTAAGGAGAAGAAAGTTGACATGTGTACAAGGTAGGTGTCTGCCTTCTCTGTGAAGAAGGGCTATCTCCTGAAAGTGAATGGTGGTGAAGCTTACAGAGGTTTTATTTTAAAGATTTAGAATATTTCTTTGGAAAAGAGCATGGGGCCAGTGGCACCTTGAACCCAACATGCCCAGAAAGAATTTATCTTCTGTCCCTTCAAATGACCAATTCCTTTCATTTTCTTGACTCATAAATAAAGGCAGCACTTTTCCCTTGGTCACCAAGAAATAAAATTGCAGTTACTTTGAGTCCTCTTCCCTGCCTTTATATTTAACCAGCTGTCAAATCATGAAGCTCCTACTTCTTCATGTTTCCTCCATCAGTCCCCTTCTTTTGAATTGATTCACAAATACTTTACTTTTTGCACACATATCTAAGTGTAGTAAGATTTGTAGAGTACACTGTGATATACTATATACGGTGTAACTAATATTATGATAGAAGTATCCAAAGAGCAATGTGGAATGAATCCCACACCAGATAGCTAGAAAGGAAAAGGGGATGGGGTGAAGGGTAGCATAAGGCTCAACAAAAAAACAGTGAATCAACAAAACTCCTTCAGCATACTAGGTATTTTAGTGCAGCCAAAGCCTAGGGTGGGTATTTGTCAGGAAGCAGTGAGAACTGAGCCTACACAGAGTTGATAAAAATCTTCACATCTTAGAAAAGAGGAAAGTGAAGCATAGAGAGGCGAGTTCATTTTCCCTTCTTTGCTATGCTATTGATGTGGAAACATTTTTCATATATACAGCAAAAAAGTACTTACATTTTCTAGTATCCTCAGGGAAGGAGGTAAAGTGAATCAAACTTCCAGAAAGCTAACATTTCCCCCTTTAAGTATTTTTAGCCACTTCAGCAGAAAATCTTTCTTAAAAGTGTGATGTTTCCCCCACTTATGAAACAGATTATACCAAATGGAATGACACTGGAGGATCTCTATTCTAATCCCAGCTCTGCCACTTACTAATTGTCTGATTCTGAGCAAGTCACTTATATCAGCTGAGTCTTGGCTGCTGCCTCTTTCAATTGGGAAAAAAACATCTTCTATCCTGCTTACTTCATTGGGGTTGCTATGAGATTAAATGTGTGAAGGTACTTTATAGCATTTAAAATGTCTTTGAAAATAAATAAAATATCAAAAAAGGGTAAGTAGTACTGTAATTTAAGAAAAGGTGGAAGACCCAGGTATCCTTAAGAACATCCATTATTTGACGGTTCTATGCTACTGGCACCTCAACATCCATTAATAGGTTCTTAGCCCTTACACTCAGCTACAGGCATTTTTTTTTTTTTTTTTAGAAAACCTCTGTCTGCTTTTCAGTTTTCTCCTCTCTTCCTTTGCTCACAGTTATCAGCATGCCTTTAAGGCAAATACAATGTACCTCTTCTCATTTCCTGCTTCTCACACACTACTGGGCTGGAAACTTATTATAATTGTGCATAAATTTTAGATGATTCAGAGGTCAGAGAGGCTCTCCTATAAATAAACCAATGAACCTTTGTGCATAGACTATGGAAATCTAGTTCAGTCATTCAGAGGTCTGTTTGCTTACATCCTAGATGTCTTCCAGAGCACTGCAGCTACAGGATAAGTGGGCTCCGCATGTGAAGTGCTACTATATAAAAACTCTGCCATAATTTCTCCCAACACAACAAACTGATAAGATGATCCCCAATAGCTCTGGTTATATAGATCAGCAACTCTACTAAGAATACAAATACAAGCATTTTAAAGGAGTCTTTCTTTGGCTAAACAGCACTGACCAACAGAAATAAACACCCTGCAACCATTTAAGTGATTTTTGCATCCTAGGACAAATAAAGACCATTGCTCTCAGTTATAGTTAGAAGTTAATCCTGACTTACCTAACAACTATGATGCAAGTAGTAACACACACACACACAAAAAAACAATGTTTAAAAATACAAAGTCCTACAGCTAAGAAATATTTTTAATCAGATTTCCTATTTTGCATCAAAAGCTGAAAATGGCCAAAGCATTAAGCAGCAAACAAGATAGGTAAAATACTGTTTTCTTTTGTAAATAAATTGTGCACAGCACATAATTTTAAGAAGGAACTACATTTGAACCACTAAGTATACGTACTTCTATACTCACCAGACTGTTACGGCTCATAACTGTTGTACTATTCCTCCGAGTTCTAAATGTGTAAGGCTGAAAAACCTGTGAAATGTCACTAAAAATAAAAGTAAAAATTATTAATGGATTCTCATCTAAAATATCCTTCAACTGTATTAATGCCAATTCGCTACTTAATGAAATTTTGAATGGCTCCTCATTTGGTACAATGAATAAGCTCCTCACCGTCCTCTTCAGAGCTTTCTGATTGCTGTGCTGTGGGTTACAGGTTAGTGGAGATATTGATCTCCTCAGTGGCTGGGAGGCAGATAGGAGAAATACGGGGTGGAGCTCCAGACTGGTTGCCTCCAGTTGCTTCTGCTCAGAACTCACCACCCCCCAAACCAGTTACTGCCAGATTCAAACTAGCAGCCTCATCTGCTTACCCAGAGGACCTACAATCAGTACTGCTTTCTCTGTGTGCCATGATATGACAAGGACTGGAGAGCCCTATTCTATAATATGAGCCCAATCAGCATCTCCCACTATTGACCTAAACATGTGTTCTACCTTTGAACCCCAGTGTCCAACTAAATAAACATACCTGGAGTTTTGCTGATGGTGCCCCTTCTGACTCAAATGCCCTCCCTCCCACCACCACCTGTCAAAATCCTTCATTTCCTCCAACACCCACCTCAAACACCATGCCCTACATGAAGCCTCTTCATTCCACAAACACAATGAAATCCTTCCCTTCTTTGAACCCAAAAAGCACAATGGGGAATTTGATGTCTACTAAGACACCAACTTTAACTTTTATTAATGAAAACTTTGCATGCGTCTTAATTCCCTTGGTGGAGGTGTTTTGCTCATCCCTGTACAATATCTTGCAGTGCCCAGCAGAGTGCCACACCTGTGTTACGAGGCGAAGAAGGATTTTCAGGATTGAGGATATGGGTATCACCTAATCCAGCTCTCCTACATTTTAAGTGGAAAAAAAAACAAAACAAAACAAAACAGATTCAGAAAGGCTAAGTGGCTCATTAATAATCATAGCCAATCAGGGAGAAAATTGAGACTAGGCCTGGTCTCCTCACCCTTCTTCTGTCATCATTCTACTTTTCAAGCAATTGCTAGAATCGTGATTCAAAAAACAGCATGTTATTTCTACAGCAGACTAACTTCAGGTCAACAGGATTGCCCTAGTCCCTAGCAACTGCTTGCCTACTAAATTTTAAGATAACCAAAAAAAGTCCAGTTTATTCCTATAGTATTAAAAATAAATGTAGAACTGAGGAAAGATTTAGGGCAAAGTTTCAAAATTTAACTAAAAAAAAAAATCTTTTTCCCAAAATGAGGATATTACAATCAGTTTGATACACATAAATGTTTGCCTTCCCTGTGCTTGATTGCTGTTTTTAGCTAACTACCCCCATCCCCTTTTTTGGACTAATTCCATTTCTATGGGGCCTTGCAAATAGGCTCTCTACCTAAGATGAATTGTCTACTTATAAAAGTGAAATGTAATAGGTTCAGGAGGTCTGCCAACCTAACTTTCACTATCACAATATTCTACCTTAAAACAGACCCTCTAATGACTTTTTCACATGAGCACAACACCCTACCACTGAAATTCAAGGGGAGGGGATCCTCTCCATTGTTTTCTAAAACCTGTGTTTTCACTAATGTAAGGTACATGCTACCCTTCTTTTTTATTCACTGGAATGCATTTCAGGCAGTTTTATGATCTGAAAACGTTACAACAAATCCAAATCACTTAACATGACATGAACATGCCATTTAATGTCAAGTTATTAGATAAACTGTGATTTATAAAAGTAAACAACTGTTAATACCAGGATTCCTAGACTAGGCTTAGAAATACCAGCTCCTAGAGACAGGTGTCAAATTGCAAGTTTAATTCCAGGGGCTTCAGTCTGACATTCACTGGTGTAAGTTAGGCAGGGAAGGCAACCTGTTAGAAGAGCCGACTTCTTGTAGTTCCTTTTTGAGTGAGCTAACAGAGCCTCAGGTAGAGATGGTCCCATTGTCCCCACAATGTCCAGAGTTTGGGGGTCAAACTTTCACTCCATTATGGGACACCAGTCACTATTAAGCAAACAAGTCATCACCCCTTCAGTTTGGAGAGCTCAAATGAGCTCCAACTCTCACTTTAGGGAAGGAAGACTGTTTGCAAGGGCTCGAAGAACCCCCAAACCCTGCAGTCCATCCTCCCCAACACAGCTCACCTAGGCCCATGGATCAGGGGAGCGCTGTTGGATCTCCTCAGGCTGCCCCCATCAGATGTGCCAGGCTCAGAGTCCAGCTCCATTTTCTCCTGAGCCATGTCTGGATACTTGCAGGCAGGCACAGAGGACAGTGCTCAGCTCCTGGTGCTTAGGTATGGACTCCCAACATTCTCACCGCGGGACTAAGCTACGGTGGACAGGCAGCTGGGGGCGGGGGCTAAGGGGCGGAGAAAGCGGGAGAGGAGCCGGAGGGGAGGACGATAATGAGGACAGATTGATAGAGAGGGAGGGGAGAATGGAGGTTGTAATGGAGGGTGACAGAATAAAGGAGGAGGATGGAAGAAAGAAAGGGATGAAAGGAGGATGGAAAAGAACAGGAGGGAGAGGAAAGGATAGATGGAAAACAGTGTAAAAAGAAGAGGACAAAAGGGAGACTCGAAAGATAGGGGGAAAGAAGGAGGGCAGCGTGGGGAGGGCAAAGAGGAGCAGGAGGTAGGAAAAGAAGGACGTGTATGCGGGAGAGGGAAGAGAAGAGGGGGAGGAAACTAGGCAGAGGCAGAACTCATGGTAATCTTCTGACCAATGACCTCAAGCTGGGCCGGGCTACAGACATTGCAGCTGCCTGGGCAGTGATATCACCAAGGAGCTGACAGTCGGGCAGGGCCCAGCTGAGCAGCCTCTGCGGCTCCAGCTCCCCATGCTTAGGGACCGGGTCCGGCCCGCCATCCTCCGGAACCGGCCCCAGAGGATCCTCAGCCCCGTGATAGCTTCTTCTCCCCTCTCTGCCCCCTCCCGCCTGGAGGACAAGTGGGGGGTTCGGCCCCCTCAGCCACTGCCTGAAGCGGTGCCTTCAGTTCCTCTCTTGGTTTCTAATAGGCCGAGGGAACCCCTTGGGGTCAAAACCAAAATCTAAACCTGCCGCTTCTTACTCCTCCCACTCCTCAGAAGCGGGAACCTCTGTGGGACCGGATCTTCCGTGTTTAGGCACCCAAAGGGTCCTGCGCACGCGCCAGGCGGCCTTGCCAATGAACCGGCGGGCAAGGAGCATGCGTAGGAGCCCTGCCCCTCAAACCTCCTCCAAAGAGGAGGAGCATTTCTTGGGGGCCCGGCACTTTCCTTGATGGCATTGGTCCGGGGACGCTGGCGCCTGATTTTGAATGGAATCAATAGCTTAGAGATGCTGGAGCATCATCTTTCAGGAGGAGTTTGAACCAATATTCAAGGGAAACAGAAACTATCATTCCCAATTTGTGTGCTATGACTTCTGTGATCCCTGCTTGTTTTTTTTTTATTTTTTATTGTTGTTTTTTAAACCCTTCAATTTTGATGGTCTTGGTCAGGAGGGACCGATATTTTTTTTCAGATGATTTATTGGGTGCACTAGACTAACGGAAGTGAAAAAACAAAGACAATGGTGTAAAAACAAAGAATCTAAATGACCGTTCACAGTGAGGAGCACCCAGCTCCATTTTACAAGTGCCATTAGCTTCAATGGCATTAATAAAACTAAAGGACAAGTAGCAGAAGTATTTTTCTTTCTAGGATTTATGCAGACCCTAACAATCATGATCCTGCATGTGTGAGACCTGGAATTGTTTATTTTATTTAACAAAGATCTACATAGCAGTTACTGTGTGCTAGGCACTATTTTAGAGCTTTAGAAATATTAAATTATTTAATCCTCACCACTTGAATGATCCTGAGAGAAAGGTGGTCATTGTATTATGTTAATCATACATATCTAGAAAGTACAGGAAATTTAGTAACTATGAAGTTGGTTTCAAAATTTAGCAAAACTATTTGTGTGCCCCTTAATTCACTTGTTTCATATTAAAGTTTTCAAGCCCGGTCACCATTTTATTCCTCATTGTTTATGTTTTCTAATATGAGAGTTTTTAAAAGCACTTTTGCAAAGTTCCCTTTAAATTGCCTACATTTTCCTGCCAGCTGGATGAGAAATGCAAACTATGCCTTTAACCTATTTATGTATCTCTTTATCTCAAGGTCTCAGCAATTCCCCCATGCAATCCAATAAAAAAATATGGTATATTCTACTATTCACCATAACAACTAAACAATCATTTTTTGACTGCATGCACAGTCCCTAACTCTGAGGAGTCAAACAATTTAATAGAATGCCTAATTTTCAGGAGCTTAACAGTTAAAAGGAACTCAAGGATTCATATCCCTGGATGGATAGCTCAGTTGGTTAGAGCATCATCCCGCTATGCCAAGTTTGCAGGTTCAAACCCTAGTCAGGGCACATACAAGAGTCAACCAATGAATGCATAAATAAGTGGAACAACAAATCAATGTTTCTCTCTCTCAAAATCAATAAATAAAAATCAGTTAGAAAAAGAGATATATAGGAAGATGGATGCTACCTTGGCCATCATTTCCAGATTTTATTCATATTACTGTTGCCTACCTAGTTTCTTTTACTCTTCATGTAAACTTTTGGAGTTTTGGGCTTGGGGTCCACTTGCTCTTGTGAGTTAACATATTGTTTAAAAGTTACCATGATAACTGGTAAAATAAAGAGCTAATTATAACGTAGTTGTGGGACAACTTTTATAAGTAAGAGGTCTGGGGCAGATGGCAGGAGACTGGGGCATAAAGAGAAGAACAGCATAAGTGTCAACGTACATCTAAACAAACCATGATCTGAGATCATGGCATGTTACCATGGAAAAGCAAGAGCTGATCATGAAAAACAGCTACATTGGTATAATAATATGTAGGTAGAAATAGGAAATAGTAAAAATAATTTATTTAAATGATGTACTTGCCCTATAGCATATAGAATTCTTTGTTTTTACAGTACTTGTTCCTTTTGACATTCCAACCTGTGTATGTATTATGAGTCCTGTCTATATCTTTACAAATTTTGGGTTCTTACAAGCTGCATTTAAGTTAAAGAGAATTTCTCCTCTTTGGTAATAGGTGGAAACTTACTGCCAACTCATGTATTTAGTTATTTCATATTACTACCCTTTTATAGAAAGTCTCTTAGCTGCTCTTTCCTTGTTTTATTATACCTATTCTCTTTGTGTTATGATACTTAGATTTTCTAAAATTAGATATCTACAATATTTAGGCATGGTGAGATTTTTGTTTATTCATTCCAAATATATCCATTAAGCCTTATTATCTGCCAAGAATGTTAACAAACTCTTTTAAAAGTATAATGAGCAGTACAGTGGAGGTAAGATCTTCTTCTCTGGTGTAATTCATATTTTTCTGCTATTTAGACAGTTTCTGACCCTCTCTTCTGTATTTAACCACTGCCTCCTACATGCACCCTGACTTTACTCACATTTAGTTGTCATCTTTCATAAAGTTTCCGTGTTCTGGAAACTTTAACATTGGCTCTTAGGAAATCTTGGTACTAGCTGAGATTCTACTACTACTTAATTATGTGACATTATTCTCACTAGAATTTTATCAACTGTAAAATAGAAAATAGCTGTAAAGAACAAGATTATTTATACAAAATAGCTGTAAAGAACAAGATTATTTATACCTGCATTTATTCATGAAACAATTTAATAAGTAGTTATCAAATGCTTATGAGTACAGAATGACCAGAGAAACATCCAGAGGCACCTTGCATATCTTTTCATTTAAATAGAAGGGCAGAGGAAACTAAGCTTTGCCACTTAGTAATTGTAATTTGAGTAACATCTCTTGGCTTTGGTTTCCTCCTTTGAAAAATGGGTATTGTGAAGGTACTTACCTCAGAGTTTATTGTAAGCACAAAATGCAATCACATACTTAAAGTGTTTGGGAGTAAGTGCTCAGAAAATGGTAGCAATTGTTAACCTGTCTTATATCAGGAACAATGACTCCAAATTGTCCTCCTGTCTGGGATTTAGGTAGTATAGTTCTGCCTAATATAATTAACCTTTTCTTATTCTATTCTCAGAATGAATAAAGAATGAATGTGATCTTTCATGTCATAACTTGTCTTGAACTGTTTCAAGATAATCTCATTATTTTAAGTTCACCACTGATTATTTGAGCAGTGTTAATGATTGAACCAATTGAGACAAGTATGTGAAACCATTTTTTAAACTGTAAAGGCATACCTGGTTTTTCTTTGGCTGAGAGAAATAAAAGAGAAGGATTTGTGGCCGTAATTAAGAGAAATTCTTCATTTTCATTATAGGCTTGGAGATGGAAGATCCCAGCGTTAGTGGCCCCCAGCTTGGGGGAGAGGGGAGGGAATTGGTTTCGGAGCCAGTCCTACCCTCTTAGTTCCTGCTGGTGTAAGGGCTCATAGGGCTGCAAAAATGAGCTCTTCTCTCGTCTAATAGCTTCCTTGTCTCTTCTATTTCTTCCCCTTTCTCCCTGTGTGAACTGGAAACAGAAAACCTTGACATCACAGAACTAAGCAGCAGCTTCTTCCTCAACATGGATATGGCACAGGAGAAAATGGAACTAGACATAGAAATTATGCCAAGCTTGATCATCACAGATGACAACATCCTGAGAAGATCCAACAGCGCCCCTTTGATCAGTGAACTTGGGTGAGCAGGATTGAGATACTGGAGGAGGCAGGCAGAGGAGTGGGTAGCAAGAGTTGGAGAAAGTGAGTTCTGAAAATATTCTTGTCCACTTATCCATAGAGGTTCTGCAACTATCCCCTTTGTTCCTGGTGTCCAAGGATCCCACCCACACACACCCACCATGACCTTGACACATATATGAACCTGAACCTTCTCTTCTGACAGTCCACCAGCATCTGAAAGTAGCAACCAGTTGATATAGAGCACAACTTTTTCTAACTTCACCTCATCTTTTTTTCACTCCTTTGAAGAGACAGCACTTCCCATCATTGCCTCCACTTCTGTGATAAGTGTAATTTTTATCATTCTCTCAGCTGCTTTTTCACCTCTGATCTTCACCTCCAGTAGATGGAAATGGTTGGCAGGGAAATAAGCTTGGGCCTTTTTTATACCTAGTTTTTGTTGGAACTAAAAATCTAAGGACCACAGAAAGTTGATGTTCTAAATTTTGCATTCTCAGTGGCTGCTATTGCCCCCAAATTGGTTCTTGGGTGTAGTGAAAAAAACAAAATTTTTATGTGTAAAGCACAGATATACATACATATGGAAATTTCGTGGGGATTTTTGAGGGAGTGCAATGGGGGAGGGATGTATAAAAAGTTTCCTTAGAGGGCTGATAGTGAAAAAATATGATTTAGAAACACTGCTTTAACTGTTAACTGCATATCCAAAGATCTGGCATTACTCAAGTTTATGTCTTAAAATAGAATTTTAAAGTGAAATCTACATCTCACATCTTAGTGTCACAAAGCTATCAATATTGTAAAAATGTCCAAAATGTGTTCACTACATGTGTTATTAACTTTGCTCCTTACCTTTTGCTGGTATCATACTGATAGTTGTAAATCACAGCTGTTAGATTTGAACTCAGAGACCAGATCTACCTTCCTTGTTTAATATATGAGGAAACTGAGGCCTATAAATCTCCAAAATGGCATAGTAATAGAACCAGTACTAGAAGCCTGTGTCTCCTGACTCCTAAGCTAGTGCTTTGTTCACTACTAATCAACATCTAAGCCAATTAAGCCTAAACAAATGCAGCTTTCTGGTCATTTGAGGTAAGGGAGAATATATTGTTCTAATATGAAAAGCAAACTAAGACTGACCAAATATAACAGAGTACCATTTTTAATAAGCAGATAGAAAAATTGGATGAGGGCATCTCTGCATGTTATGCTGAAAACAAGAACATCCTATAAATTCAGAATTTTATTCTAACCCTGTTGTGTGAATAAATTAATTGTTATGGACCCACTCTGCTAGTAGAAGGAAGCACTTGGGGAGAATGTTGGTTTTCCTGGAAGTGTTATGAAATGAAAAAAAAAAACAACTTGTAAATAGGTGATGGAAGATATATGCTTGAAGGAACATGTGGATTCTGTTTAATGTATTAAATGCTGGAG